AACTGAAGGGTCGCCGGGAACGCCACACGAGGCCAACATTCACGACAGTCTACGGGCGCAGACCACAAATTACTTTGGTCCGTCTCCGGCGTCTTGTGTAGGTCCGGTGGGTACGACCTGGGGTACCGGGTATCGGATCTCTGACTTCGTTGGTCGTAAGGATATGAATCGTCCGTCGGAGTTTCGGGAGTAGTCCTTCCTCCTGACTCTTTGTCCCGGGTAAATTACCGATAATTAGGTTATATTTGTAAAAAAGTGTCACTAGGTTGGGTGAAAGAGACCTTTACAGACAGAAAACAGGGCGAACTCAAGGACCTCGACGAGGGGACGAAGTTTTTTGTTTGGCGACAGACTGGGCTCTCTACCACAAGTTTTGTCTCCGAAACCCTCTCGTGCGTTACTCGTCACCGTCATTTTCGGTCTCGCAATCCGGTCGCCTGTTGTGACTTGTACTGGATGTGGTGGTGCAGTCACTTCACGTTGTCTCGAGATAAGTATGACGTTTAGATTTAATTTCGTTTTGTAATAAGGTCCTCTTAATAGAGTTACCCACCCGAGCTTACCAGGTCTGCAACTGAGGTTGTCAGCCTCTCTTCCTGTGTCGAAGAAAAGAAAAAAAGCGACAAGGTATGGACGTGAACATGAAACCATATACCAAATCCTCGTTAATACCGTTATGTGAGGTATAATTTCCAATCTACGAGTTCTTACACCAATTCAATTCTATCTTGTGATCTGTGTTAGGTGTTGGACCGCGGTATAAGTAAAGTTGAATTTATCCTGTCTAAGGACGTGACTTGGACTTGGACTTGTATTGTGGCATATTGTGGGACACCTTACGAACGTACCAATGATAGTCCAACGATAGAGACACGACAAACAGGTGTGCCGAATAAAATACGAACGACGGTTGCGTTATCAAGAGTTGGGGTTTAACCCTAAGACCTTTCAATGAATAGTAGGCGAGGGGTATAGAGACGATAGAGTAACGGTCATCGTACAGAGGGATATTCAGGGAATGACAGATCATATTAGGGATAGAAGAAGGCGGCAATAGTGTCTGAGACTCCAGAATCAGAAAAAACCGTAGTACCAGACGCTGCCTGTCTGTGACACTTAGAGAGTTTGACGTGACTGTTGAAGGTTTGTAGAGGAGTATGGCTACCAGGTTGGCTCAACTCTGCACATACGATTTTTTACTATATACATTTAAGAATAATACCTCCGGAGATCAGTTAACACTGAGAACACATGTGTTCACAGACGCGTAAAGGATCGTATACTACAGGCTGTCAATACTCGACGTTATGGTCTTGTTAGGGAATCAACGGGGAATGTTCCATTCAATACCTGAACACATGTTCCTATAGACTAACGATAGTAACTCAAGTCTCCTCGGGATGTCAATCCGGTATACCTGTCAGGGTACACTCGGCGGGTCAGCGGGACAATTCGGGTATGACACCACCGTATCGTAGCTTCAGCTAACGGAGAAGCACGAAACGAGAGGAGACTGTGACGCCAAGCTCGAAGTTTTTGTGCGTTGGGCGTAACCGTGAGACCTAGTGTCAGGATTGAAGATGTTCGGCCTGTTGTTGTGCGGAAATCTCCTACAAGGAACTTGTCACCCTATCAGTTTGTCAGAGAGTCAAAGAAATAACCGAGGTGTGATACGTCACTGATTAACCTTATCAACGATTGACCATCAGTACAGTAATATAACTTTGACACTACCTACTTTACATTCCTTACCGAATGTACAGAGCGGAAAACCAGGCCAAGACAGGGACACACTTGTAATTTCTGCCAGTCCCGGTCCAACCCACCCCACTGCCTTGGTTCAGTTTGACTAAAAGAACAATCAAGAGATCTATAGGTATCGTACAATTGGCGGGATATTATGGGTCGAGTTACTGTGACTAAAAAATGCCCCATTACTGTAGTAATGACATTGATCGAACAAGATGCGGCCTTTTAAAAATCTGCGCCATTTTGCCAATTATGCGGTAAATTCTGCGATCGCAGAATCGCGTTTTTCTGGAGGGTCTACATTCTGTTACCAAGCATCCTGGTTCACTGTCAGTGTACACATGGAACCTGTACATATAAGTCATTAGCAAAGGTCTGGCCGTGAGTAGCTGCGTCTCCATGTCCCTCCTCTAAAGCTCCTTACACAACAAACTGACACCAAAGAACACCAAAGAACACGTCCCAACGGAACGTCGCCTCACGTCTCCTGCGTCTTGGCCATGTGTCGCACTGGAACACACCGCAAAGACTTCAGCCGACGGCCAAGTAGCACGTACGAACTGCGCATTCGTGAGTGGCAATAACTCCCCTTACCAGCAGGCGGCGGTAGTGTGTATTCGTCATTCAAAAGAGGCAACAACCGGAAGAAAGACTGCATGATACACCGAGAGAAGAAGAACAGACTGCGTGATATAAACAAACAACTAATTGTTAAATGTTTAACTGGAGTTAAATGAAATCTCAGATTTGCCTTCAGTTTTTTTGGGTCCCTCACTTCCGTTTCACTTCTCATGCACTGATTCGCTAGCTGAACAGCCAATCAGAGTGATTTCTTTGTCCGACTGCCTGTGGCCGACGCACGGCATGTGTCGGCCATGAAAGGCCAAATAAGACGTGTCACGGCCGGCGGTGCGGGACACACCAAATTGAATTTGGGCGACAGGGCACGCTTCGTCGTCCGACTAACGAAAACGGCCGATTTCGGCCTGGTGTGTCAGGGCCTTAAGGGACCGCAGAGTGTTCAGTGTTTGGGAAGTTTTAGGACAGAGCCGGCAAGATCAGCACACGTTTCTTTTGTGGCATTGTAAAATAATGTTTAAATGAAGTCATTTAATTACATTAACGTAATATACTTATTTGCCCTCTTTTCTCAGAGTACAAATATTGATATCAATCTCACATCTGTGCGAGTACAAAACTGCATTCAAGATATGTTTGGACTTGAAGTGGTGATAGTAAGATAGCCTGGCCTGAAAAGAGAAGCAGCAGATATGAAGCTGACTGCTGAACCTGTTCTTTGGTTCTTATACACAGAGCCAGGTTAGCCTCGTCCAGCATCTACTGTACCTGAAACACTCAAGCAGAGTCTTAATTCATTTGAGCTGTCCTTTAAACTGAAATCTTCTCCAATTCTTCCTGAGACATGACTCACTGTGTGTGTGGTTGGATGGCTCTGTGCCATGTGACCTGCCCTGACTTAGATGCTGTGTTCAGGGCCTGTTTGTGCAGGAGCTGCCTCTGAAAACCCTGGCTGCCTTGCGCTCCAGTCAGGCTCTGATGTTGAAGGTTTGTGGGTGCCATCAACACCCAGATAGATAACCCTCTGCAGGGGTGTCACCAAGTTGTGCCGCAAAGAGAGCCAGCGCCCTAGAGCCAAGGCCCCCCCCTCCCACCCTGCTCTCCACCCAAAGGGAGACCAAATATCAATGAGGGTGCTACTGATTTTGTTTAACTGTCATTCAAAAAAGTTCTATTTGTAATAAGCCCGTGAAGTATAGGGATACTAATAATAAAGAAATATGTTTTCCATGTTTGTGCAGATGTATGACAAACATAAATGCACATGGTCTGCATGGAAAATAAAGATGAAAGTTACATTTTAATTCAATTCCATGTTCGTAATGGTAATGGAATGCAAGTTACATTTATGTTGCTTTGTTATTATCAACCAAAACATTCTGATTCAGAATAAAAAATACAGACCAACACCAAAAATGAAAATGAGCATTGACAGATGGTACATGACACTCAGGATGGTAGCAGCCCTTTTTGTCCACCCAGATCATAATACATAACAACTATTTTCATTATTTGAAGTCAGGAAATAAAAAGGCTTAGGAGTTTATACAAAACATATATTTTGAAAAGAACTCTTACAATTATTTGAATTTTCACACACTCAAACAATTAATCTAATTATAAAAAACACAGTTGGACAAAATCATTGAAATATCAATGTAGGATTTCGCCCTCTTATTGGCAGCTGTTGACTTCTTAACATTGAACCCGGTGTGCTGGAGATCTGGAATGGTGAGGGACAAAGCAGCACACTTGCCTACTTGCTACATTTACCCCCTACTTATTTGTACTAATAACATTCTGTATATATTTCCATTTAATTGGTACTCTTTTTGGCCTTACTCTAATCCACTGGAAAATAATTTGACAGACCACACAATATAAAGAAGTATGTTCCAAAATAATGCTGGGTTAACCATATAATAATATGGAATAGTACTGAATACTTATTTTGTGGTTAAGGTATTGGGTAAAGGTAGTCTTCCTTTAAAGGTTCTGCATAATAAAACAATTTGGAAATATGTACACTGTAAAAAGTAGGCAAGTTGCATGCAGCTGGTTCTATTTTGTGTCAGCGGGGAAATGTAGCGATCATACCTGTACTGTCCTGTCCTAAATGTGTATCTGATCATGCTGGTCGTCTCAACAGAAGCGGCGTATTGTACAGCCCTGTGTGGGACAGTTGGCCGCAGTAAGTCTGGATGTGTTTCTGTACTGCTGTCCTCTCTTTGTGGCTCCGCTGCGCCCACCTCTGCTCCGCTGCACTCTGAGGGCCTGGCCACGGTGAAGGGGACATTGATGCACATTATCCTGAGTTGGGGATGCTTAATGATTTGCAACCATCACTCTGTCAGTACCTCAGAGATTTGAAATCGTTCACATCCTTTGAACATAAAGAAGCATCCCAGTGTATCAACCATCCCCTTTGCCCCCCCAGGCCCATAGTTTGCTGTGCCGGTGCCTTTTGTTGTTTCTTTCTTCTACCAGGTTTCCTTTTTTTTATCCTTTGCCCTTCCATTTACTTACTTTCCACTCTGATGTTCTATTTCTCTTTTTCCTCCATATCCCTCCCCCTTCTTCTTCATTCTCCTTTCCTTTCTCTCTCCTCCTGGTGACCTTTGCCCTGTGATATTTTTTCACCGCTGGCCACCTGTGCTTTGTGACTCCCCCCCGGCAGATGTTGCCCATCAGCGTGCGCAACATGCCCTCAATAAGCCCTCTAATCCTAAAACGCCTCAAGGTACAATTCTCTGCCCCCTACTTGCCCCCTCTTCTCCGCCCGCCCTGTGGATGCCACCCGCCATCATCCGTCGCAACCCCCCCCCCCTCCCCTCCGTCGTCATGCTGTAATTAACCTCCTTTGGCTGCTACTGCTTCATAATGTTTACTCTTATTCAAGGTTCTGTCAAAGATGCTTGACCAGAAATCAAACAAAAATGGTAATACCATTGAAATGAAAAGACACAGAATATATCTCTACATTTCCCAGAAATAAAAATAAGCAACCTAAATATGTTGTAAGGTGTAAATAAGAAAAAATATTGTTTTTTTTGGATACAATAAAGTATATCATAAGTTATGACATTACAATACAAGATCATACTGTGTGTGAAGGAGCCTTATTTGGTACTCTGGCACAGGTTGGCCCCTTGTTAGGACATGATATAGTCATATATTGAAAAAAAAGATTTTCTGATATACCGTATAAAGTTCATATAGACTCCCTATAGTAAATCAGATACAAGCCAGTCACTGTAGACCACCTGACATAGTGGGTTTCCATCATGAAGATTATAGAGTTATGGCTGAATTTGATGTTCTTTCCTGTGATTAAATTGTGCGGAACAGCACATTTTATGATCAGCTATTGGCAGCTGGGACCTGCCCATAACAGTGTGTGTAATCCTGAGAGCAGCCTAACATTTCCAGGGACAGACATCATATCATGACAGTTTTCTGCAGGAATGATCAAATGTGGATGTTATGCTTATGGATATGTTCTCCATTATCTGAGAATAGAGGCTTGGCAGCACTCTGGTTCTGAGCTACTGTACATGTGGGTTCTCCTACCATAACACAGTGATTGCTGAGTGACTGAAGTGAGGCCAGCGCTTTGTCTAAGGAACTTCTCTAAGTTGAACCACATGTGCAAATAAATCATGTACTGTGGCAAAATGGATCTATACATGCCATGCAGACCTGTTGCCCTGCATATTTCCATATGTGTACAGTATATTATCTGTTAAATATTGACCTGTAGCAATCAACAAGTTGATTTTATGAGGTGAAAAAATCAGCGGCGGAAATTATTTTCCTTTTAACCCAAAAAACATATCCAATCTTGGAAAAGCACCTTTGACACTACTGGGGGAAAATCTGCAATCGAGTAACATTGATTGATGATATTAGGCTGGTCAAGAAGAAAGAGAATCACATCAATGTCATGGATTACATTTCCCATTATATTGCTCTACAAACAAAGGTAGTTCTAGAGAAGAACACCCTCAATGCTCTCACTACATGTATTTGTGGAACGTGGTTGAACTTGCTCAGGTGTCACCAAGTAACTGAGTGACACACTTTGATAACATGTCAACTCCGGCAGTGGCTCAGTCAGTAGGGGCTTGGACTGGGAGCTGTAGGGTCGCTGGTTCAAGTGTGGACTGGTACTTGGAGAGGTCCCAGTTCACCTCCTGGGCCCTGCTGTGGTGCCCTTGAGCAAGGCACCGGACAACCCCCCCCCCATTGCTCCACGGACGCTGTACAATAGCTGCCCAATGCTCCTAGTACTAGACTCCTGGTACAAGGATGGGTTAAAAGGAGAGAACAAATTCCACTGTGTGTGCTGTGCATGTGTAACCATTAAAGAGGGTTTCATCCCTCCCAATTACAATTGCAAAACTCCCGAATGTCCTCCTTGATTTCTCTGATGCGTTCCATAGACTCCTGGTCAGTGATAGTGACCTCTACCTCAGGGTGTACGCCTATGTAAAGGACATTAGTTTCAACAACGACTAGGAGGAGGTCAAAATTATCAACCAGGAGTCAGTAAAACAAAGTCCTTAGCTGATGCTGCTGCTGGTTTCAGTCTCATATTTTTGACACCTCATTTCTACCCTACTTAGAAAGAACCTGTCACAAGCCCCCAATGTCCTGGCACCTGAGCAAGCTTCTGTCCCTGACGTCCTTTGAAGCCTTAAGGCAGAAGCCTTTGAAAAGAGTCAACCTTGAGTTTGGAATATTTTATCACAGATTCCTGTTACAAAGGTCAAGAATGAATGTTCTCGTGCAGCATTTGAAGCGACGCTTGCCTTGCCACCCCGCTAACCTTTCTCTCTTAAACCCCCGCTGCATTTATTTGTGGTGTTGTGTGAGGTTGTTGTGTTGGCATGACAAGTATGGCAAGGTGTGTTCCAGCATGGCAGGTTGTAACTCAAGGTCTTCCAGCAGGGCGGGCCTGGAGCGCAGGGACCCCCAGGACCTCCAGGACCCCCCGGAACTCCAGGGACACCTGGCCTTAATGGAGCCTCTGGCCCAGCAGTGAGTTCATTTCTGTTACTCTGACACTAGAAAATGTATAAAAAGGCAATTTTAAAGAAACAGAATACTGCAACTAAAAAACACTTCATCAAATAAATAGGTAGAACAAGTCGAGATAGCACACTCTAGGAAGAAACACTGGGAATTAGCTGAGACTCAAATCATACGAGACGAACTGGCACAGACGGAATATTTTGAGAGGAAAGATGATTAGGGACAGGTGACTGATCGGGTGGAGTAGATAATCACCAAGCTGGTAATGCATGAGGACAGGAAGGTGAGTATTTAGACATGGGATGGATGTGACCCATCATGGAACTGCATTGGTAGTTTTGTTGAAAAGGACTAATTCACGTCTGCTCTTCTGTGCAGGGTAAGCCTGGTGAGCCAGGCAAACCTGGAAAAGACCCCAGGGTCAGCTTCGCTTCAGTGAGTCCTCCACATTTATTTTCCACATTTTTCACATAACTGAAACTGTTGGTGTGACATTAAACTTATTTATTTCCACATTGTTTCTGCAGCTTTTACCAGGACTGAAGGTAAACATATTTCTCTTCTTGACCAAACAGCAAAATTACATTTCTGAAAAACATAATTAGCATCACTGTGAGATTCCATGATGTCTTAGACACACACACTGAGGCCCAAACAAAACAAGCCACAGAACCAGGATCAGGTCTCTGTGCAGCTGCACACATATCAGACCAGCCCCAGCTTCACAACAGAAACCTTTGGATTGGATGGTTTTTTTAACTCCACGTGATGACTTTATTGTCCGTATTACTTGGAAGGAACTGTAGATTGGGAGGTCAAATAGATGGTCAGAGACTTATTAATGCTCCTCATGGAAACAGGCTGAGTCTCATCAGCTTTAGCATGAGCAGTAACAGCTGATCACAAAGGCATCCGAGAAAGACATGATTTTAAATCCTTAAAAACAAGCCTCAGCCAGCTGCATTTCTGTTCATATTTAAATATGAAATACTAATTTATTTACACTCTTGTTACTCTCCAGGGTGAACCGGGTTGGCCAGGACAAAAGGTGAGCTATGTTCTATGCTTAACTTTATAAATACGGTCAGTAGAATCCAGGATGGGTGATTGGGTGGAAATATGAGAACAAAATCCATCACGTAATTGATAGATTTGTAATCACAAAAGTCAAGCAAAAAACATGTTTCCCTCAGTAACGGTGGTTCTTCATATAACATGTGTTTAAAGGCAGCTGCAGGGATAAATGCAGATGATAAAGGAAGGTGTAACAATCTGTAAGCTGGTATATTAACAAGATAAATACGTACAATATAGAAGTTCATAGAGGGACTTGAAAGCACCTCAGAGGGAAATGGTTTCAACAAATAATGTGTCCCTTTGCTTGTGCGGAGTCACACACCATGTTTGTTATTCGTCAACTTCCTGTCAATCAGTGTCTGATATTTGTCTTTGTGTCCCTCCCCAGGGGGATCGAGGTGACGCTGGCCCAGCGGGTTCTGACGGCTCAAAGGTATTCCACTCTGCCTGTATATAACTTTTTACGTTTAATTGCAGCATTTTTGTTTGTCATTCAACGGTTAATGACAACAATACGTTTAAAACAAACTTTAAAGCATATGCTTAAGATCTACTTAACATGTATGCACATTGAAATGAATCATGGGTTATTGTGGGGAGGCTGTGGCTCAGTGGGAAGTGTGCTGGACTTTGAATCAGGGGCTAACAAGTTCAAGTCCCACTGCAGTCAGCATGTCGTTGTGTCCCTGAGACACTTTCCCCCAAATTGTTCCTGAGGGGATTGTCCACAGTACTGAATGTATGTAAGTCGCTTTGGATAAAAGCGTCTAACTAATGACATGTAATGTTACCATGCCTCTCCTCCATTCTGGCCGTGAAGGGATCATTTTCTAATGCAATTGCACTGTGAGAAGCTAGCAACTGCAGTAAGGAAGACATGATTAAAAAATGTCAAGTCACCCTGACTTGAAAATGTTTAATTGTGCACTATGTCAGCTATCAGTAGATTTGATAAAGATATATTTTGATTAGAGGTGTCAATCAATTTAAACATTTTATTGCAATAATAAGCTGTGATTAATCATGAGCAATAGCAGTTTAAAATTTCACACACTTTTCGTCTACCGTGCCATGTCTCCATGCTATCTAGAAGTATAATTTGAGACATTGTCAAAACCGATGTGTGTTCATCTTGACTGGAACAGGTTGTGTCGTATTAAAGGACTGTAACTTTGGACTGTCTACAGTAACTCTAATATCAGCCTGAGCTCTAAAAGTGAAGGCTGTGGATTTTGTCCCCCATCTTGTCCAAGTTAGCACCACAGTCATTATTAATGAAGCTGGTTTTGAAGTTGTGTGTCATAAAAATATTACAGCCCTGACCTCAAAAATGATGCAGGTACCATCTGCTGCCACATTTATGGTTTTGGCATTTATTTAATGGGATACATTTGTTCGATTATGAATTTTAGTCTCCTAAGTCCTGACAGGAACAACAACGCATATGCACACGCACACTTATGCACACACTGTGTCGATGGCAGCTTAAATAGTCTAATCTTGCTTTGAAGCTGTGAGCGATGCTTCACTCCACCTGCCTGACCGTCTCATAATGTCTTGGCACACTTCTGTTAGAGGACACAAACAACAACTAACAAGTACATGTGCACAGCCAACGCTTTGTAATCCAAGCATTTACATGGTAACACATAACAAATGTCTTCATGTTTAAACTCTCATAAAATCTTTACCAAGAGAGGTTTGCGGTAACAAAAACTTTATTTTATGACTTTTTTTATGTTCAAGGTGGGGGTAGGTAAGTTTGAGAAACCGGCTCGAGATACACTTTTTGTTATATTCCATGGAATGCTCTTAACATCCCGATAGCAATGAAATCCATAAAAAAAGTCATCTGTGGAAGCCGTAGTAGCCTACTGTAAAAAGCACGTCCAATCAGTTTAGCCGGCCCGGCTAAAATGACTTGATGGCCTACCTGCCTGTCAGCCTTCCATCTGTGCACAAACTTACCTCGTGCCCTCATTGGTCATGTGCGCGTTCGTGTGTGTTGGAGGAGGGGCTCTGTAAGGAAGTGGCAGATTTTTTCCGGCTTTGTATTTTCAAATTCTAGCGCACTCGAGCTGGTTTCTCCAAAATTACCTACCCCACCTTTAAGACAATGTGAAATTGCAAGTAATCTTGCTGTCTCACTCAGAACTTAAGGGAGATGTCGACCCTGACACAGCATACAGCCGCTCATTTACATCCAGCAGACACAGCGCAACAGTAGCATTCATTTGGAGTTATGTTGCTGGCCAACTCAGTTTCTCACTGTGTCTGTAGTTGTATCAGTGCTAAAAGAGGCTTAAAGCTCCATACAGTTTATAAGAATTGTAATCCCATTTATGACCTCATCCTTTTGTATGTTACTCAATCTTTATTGTACCATTGTTACTTGACTTTCTCTTTTTTGGTTTTCCCCTAAGGATATTACCTTGTAACTGGTACTTTTTTTAGTACCACCTCATTCAAGGTTACCAGCGAGCTGAGGCGATACTAAAAATGCAGAGGTGGGGACTCGAGTCACATGACTTGACTCGAGTCAGACTCGAGTCGCATATTTTTGGACTTGAGACTTGCTTGACTAACATTGATAAAAGACTTGACTTGACTTTGACTTGGTATTCATGACTTGAGACTTGACTTAAGCTTGAGATAGATGACTTGAGAGGAGTTGACTGTTTAAAATTAAATATTTGCGTTTGTTTTTGGATTGAGATATTACGTTTAGTTTTTTCGAAAAACGTGATTGGATGATTATAGCGCCATGCGCGCAAACCTGGCAACCAGTTAACATGGCAGCGGCTAGCGTTACTCCAAAAATAGTGAAGTTTGGATTCCAGGATTATGTTGTCGATGACGGTAATAAGAAGAGAACAGCGGTATGCAGGGTCTGCAGCATAAAGATCAGTGACAGGACCACCCAACCCAGTCTCATGGCATTTCGTGTTCACCAACACGATTTTTAATCTATTGATTCGTGTTCACCAACACGATTTTCCCCTTTTTTTCGTGTTGCACAGCACGATTTTAAAAGCAATGTATTTCTACTGGTAATGTGTTTCGTGCCTGCAGCACGTCTTTGTCTCCGGTCGGGTCGTGGAAGACCGGAAGCTGTGTGGTTCATAAAAACATGTTCTTACTCAATATCAAGCCACAATTATTGCTTTTATTTTAAATCGTATAATTTCGGACTTTTGTTTCCTTTTCTCTGAGGAAAATAAATGGGGCTCAGAGCTCAGAGCTCTGTATTTTTTAAATCTTTTTTTCCTTCTAATTTGTTATTCTTTTCAAAATAACACACTGTTATTTACTCACCAATAACACACAATTATCCTTGCTTTTATTTATTGGTTTAATTCCATAATCTCGGGCTTTGTTGGCGTCCTTCAGGAACTGAATTTCAAAATAACAATAACCGGAAACAGACGTAGGCC